AAGTCCGCAAATGACCTTCGACATTTTACAACTACAGGAAAAGGGCTAATAGGTCAGCTTGGCAGCTCACGGACCGACTGCTAGGAGACAGGTTGCAACCCTTACGTACAATGGATCTATTAGCGGATTATGTTTTTTTCCGTATTTGGGATGCTTCGTCAGCTGGCATCTTCATCGATCCATCTACTGTCATTTATCGCACTTGGAAAGTCCATTTAGGATTGATCTGATGTCTCCCAGAATAGGTACCAGCGAAACAAACAGCGTTGGCTTTGTTGACTGAGCGTTGAAACAGCAAATACGAAGCCTCCTGTCATGTTATAAAATTGTAGATTATGCTAGCTTTAGTATACCTATAATCTTTATTTTATTAATGACAGGAGGCGAGAATTTCCCACCCGTTCTTATCCCTCCCTTGTTTAATTTTAATAGTTTGGATTAATCAGGTAGTTCTAACTAGTTCGCAAAACTAGTTCTTTTGCGGCCAGAGGTGTAACACTTCCAGGAGAATCACTGATGTATAGTTATCAAGCTCAGAAGAAAAGGCTAGCTAATGTCAATTCTGTCCATATTTTTATGAACAGAGTTGCATTCTTTGGCTAGGAAAGGCAGAGGTGTAACATGAATATGGATTTATTAAACTGTTAATTCCACAGAGCCTACACTCTGTTACATAATTTGAAACATCTTGGCCTACTAGTTTCCATCTCACAGAAAATTAATGCATTGCAATACATCATTTCTATGCAGATGACAAGCAAATCTACCTGTCCTCTCCTGATCTCTCCCCGTCCCTCTTGACTAGTGTCTCTGACTGCCTCTCTGCTATTTCTAACTGGATGGCTGCCCACTTCCTTAAACTAAACTTGACCAAAATTGAAATTCTGGTCTTTCCTCCCTCAAGTGTTGTTACTCCTGTGTCTGTCTCCCTCCAAGTCAACGGTGCTACCATCAGCTCCACCATGCAGACTCGCTGCCTAGGTGTTCTCTTTGACTCCGACCTCTCCTTCAAGCATCATGTTCAGTCTATCTCCAAATCCTGTCATTTCCATCTCAAAAACATTGCGCGCATCCTCCCCTACTTAATGCCAGATGCGACTAAGGTGTTGGTTCATTCCACTGTCCTTTCTCGCCTTGACTACTGTAATCCGCTTCTCAGTGGTCTTATGTGCTCCCAACTTGCGCCGTTACAGTCCATAATGAATGCGGGGGCGAGGCTCATCTTCCTGTCTGCCCGCATCGCCCACGCCTCACCCTTCTGTCAGTCCCAACATTGGCTTCCTGTAAGAGATAGAGCTCAGTTTAAAATTCTGATTCTTGCTTTCAAATCTCTACATAATGCTGCTCCCACCTATCTATCCTCCCTTATACACAAGTATGTCCTGTCTAGGCTCTTACGATCTGCTGAAGACTTACATCTATCTTCTGTCCGTACTCCCACCTCTGATGCTCGCCTTCGAGATTTCTCGAGGGCTGCACCGTTCCTGTGGAACTTGCTTCCCTCCTCTGTTAGATGCTCAACCAGTCTCTACTCCTTCAAAAAAATCTTTAAAAACCCACTTCTTGATAAAAGCGTATCACTTAAACTGTTAATAGCTCCCGACTGATTCCTCTTCTGCAACTGTCATTAGTCTAATACTATCCTTACCTTCTTGTGTCATTTTACCCCACTCCCTCTAGCATGTAAGCTCATTGAGCAGGGCCCTCAACCCCTCTGTTCCTGTGTGTCCAACTTGTCAGGTTACAACTACATGTCTGTTCGTCCACCCATTGTAAAGCGCTGCGGAATTTGATGGCGCTATATAAATAACATAATAATAATAATGTAGAAATAATCATAACCAATATCTCTTAAGTGGAGTACCTCAGGGATATACAGTATTATATGTCCAATTTGTTCAGCCATATACTATACTTATTGCTTGTTACCGCTAAAGAGTTTGCTCTCATTGTCTGTCTTTGTGAAATTTTAATTCCTGCAATTACAAATATAGTTTATTTTTATTCTTGGTATGTGTATTTGCAGTGGCGTACTAAGGGGGGGGCGGGGGGGCGGTCCGCCCCAGGTGCCAGCAGGGTGGGGGGTGCCATGACCAGCCCCGCCGGCACCCCCATGCTGCAGCCGCCCGAGCGCTCTGTAGAGAGCCTCAGGCGGCTGCAGCTTTGCCCGGGCGGTGCGTCCATGAGGACGGACCGCACCGCCCGGGCGCAGCCTGAGGAGAGGTGCTGACAGGAGGGAAGCGCTCAGCGCTCCCTCCTGTCACTCCCTCACTGCAGCATGGTCCGACGGGTACAGAGAGCAGCTGTCTCCTGTACCCGGCCGGACTAACAGGAAGTGCTCGGCCACGCTACAGCAAAGGTGGGGGGGGGTGAGGAGGAGAAAGGGGGGGT